TACCACATAATAATACAAACCCTTCCCATTATTATTCCCCCACAGCCACAAGCCATATGTTTAAAATTGTTTCTGAAGATCAATATAATATCAGTAATTGAAAATTGCAGAGACTAAGAAAAACGAACTATTCTAAACAAAACCATACATTTCTGATACGTGCCAGTGAACTAGAAAACAACTTTTACTTTGTGGAATTTTATAGTTTGAACATCTTTCTGAAAAGAAAAAAACTGAAAAAAATAAGCTTAATACAGTAAAGTACAACAGTTACAGAATGAGGACTTGAACTAGTCGAACCGTCCTTAACACATACCGTAATTAACATAGATATACACAAACTGTGATAATTATGCCCATACGAACAACTGTACCTCACCTATTACCCTAATAGCCAATCAATTTTGTGATTAATCATTTTCTCAAAGGACAAAAAAATATACATACATGTAAATACACCAATGAGCTATTACATAATGATCATCCCCACCGAGGAAGAGCCTTTACCTTTGGAATACTGAGGGATACACATGACATGCTAGTTATACGCTTCTTATATAAGTTAACATGGTGGTTTTGTTCTGTTTAAAAGATGCTACGGTAGTTTTGTCAGGTTAAAAAATGCTGTCAATACAAAACCTTAAACTACTTCCCTGGGGAACATCAAGTACACTGAGAAAGAAAAATATAAAATGTGGTAAATTAGGCTATGAAGAATTTAGCAGGTGCACATGCAACTCTTGTTCTAATGTGACCCTTAGTACCATCATCATACACAACTCAAACACAACACGTACCACACCCTTGAAACCCAGGTTTTGAGTTCCTAAAGAGAATTCTAAGTAATGTTTCTTGGACTGCAATCTACAAAACTATATTTTTTAAGGCATTCTATTACATTGAGAATTAGCTCTTCCAGGTAATTGTTCTCCATTGCATGAGTGGTCAGAAACTGCAGAATCTTTGTAAAATTAGACCGATTATTTGATTTCCTGGGCAATTTAATCACACAGATTTAACAATAAGTACTTCTGTTAGTTAATAATTACTTAGCAATATTGTAACGCTTCCCACGCACAGTAAGGGCTTACATGATGCAATGCTCATTTGGAGCCTGACACTTTGAGATCAGGTTCTATTTTTCAGGCTTTCAAAATACAATAATTTACGAAATGCAGATTATTCACAGAGGTCCGACTAGTAGTAAATATATGAATATCAACAAGTTCATCAGTGGTAGTGTCAAGTCTGTGTATTCAAGTTGGATAGAAGTTACATTGTGACAGCACCTGCATACCACCATATCTGAAATCGCTTCTCTTTTTGGATGCTCTTCTCTCATTGTTGTGAACACATCAAAAGTAGCGCAAAGATGAGGAAACAACAATATATTGCCCATCCATTTGTTGACCTTGGCATTTTAATGCCACATCACTGTTGCAAATTGTTTGGAGCAACTGCAGGGCCTCAAAGAAATTGCATGGAGTTTCAATAGTGGTATCCAGAATATGGTTTTACAACATTCAGTACATAAAACACTGCTGTAAGATGAGGCTGTAGAGAAGACCCACTCACATTCTCACAGTGACTGCCCAAAATTATCAGATGCAAAAAAAACTGGTTTGTTGACAATTAGAAAGTCACTTGATCTGAAGAACCCTGTTTCCTCAATGACTAAGCATATGCAACAAGAATCTTTTGATGGACTGATGATCAGAATGTTATGATATAAATGATTGAATGAGACGTGCTAGAAATTGGAAAGCTCTGAGGAAACCTGTTATGATCCACAAACCAACCCCATATGAATTAATAGGGTGTACCAGGGGAACCATGGTACCCAGATGTGAATGGCAAGCAGTCCCACCACTAAACCATGGATCGGCCTGAACATGTCAACTAGAGGTCTTGCTGTTACTATTGTGGTATCAGATAAGTGACCAACATTCTGATTTTAATTAAATAGAAGCCGCTCTACAGGCTGAAGGTGGACCCAAGACATATTTGATAGCTGAGATAAGTGATTATAATGTAATGGCCCATTGGTGTACGCCAAATGCATTAAGCTATAATTTAACTTAAAATTAAAGAACAAATATAATTATTAGTGCACGAAACACTCAAATAATCTGATGTAAAACTATAACTGAATGAGAAAAGAAAAAATGCCCCCAAACACTTCAAACCAATTACACAGAATGTTTAGTAGCCAGAAAAAATTAAATACATTGATTTTTAGGCCTCATTACCCCCCACCCCCATCCGAGTTTTCTAAACAGTAATTTCTTACATTTCTTGTTTAACTGTATGCCTTAAAAGTGTGGCAACTGGAATAGGTACAAACAAAAATATAAATGCTCGATAAATAAAAATAGTTAATTTTTGGAAGGAAATTTTTATTTTTAACCCACATAAATAGGGGGGGGGCCTTAATTTTCAGAAAGAACTATCACAAAAAAAACCTATTTGAGGTATTTGCTTGCCAAATATTTACATGAATTTATGTTTGTTTGTTTTTTTTGAGTAGTGGAAAATTTTAAAAAAACTGATTTTTCACAATATTGCTGTAATTTTTAATTTAAAACCACATCAACCTGAAGAAGTTTTACCTTCATTCCCTCATGCAAAAAAAGTTTTCGGGGCCCTTTGTAATGACTAAATACACCTTTGTTAGTAGCCAGTAGTCATTATAACAGCCATTTACTTCATAGTTTGATCGCCCAGTCTGTATCGTCATTTTGAACCAGAGGCATTTTGATATCCTCCAGTGCAAAAGGATTGCACACAACCAGATTCCCACTTTCTCACAAAATAAAACCCTATTGCTCAGAACATTACATTCATTTTTTGTCCAGTTTCCATTCCAGTGCCCATAATCCAATGAGCAAATGCTGAAGAGGTCCAGATTTTGCTTCTGCACAAACATAGCTTCACTATGCACATGTTTTGTTGAGCTCTCCTTTTGCTAGTTGTTTTATGAGAAGAGGGAAATCTGTCTTTCGATTCCACAAAATCAAGAGAACAGACAATGGTGCTGATAGGTGATACAGGAAGCTTACATGACACACTCACAATGGCTGACATTACAATTTCTGAGTGAAGAATTTGAATACGATACTCAGGTATTCTGTGGAGAACATTTGTTGCATCTTGTAAATATTATTTAAAGTAAGAACCATTAAAATCAATGAAATCAGCAAAAAATGTCGGAAAAAGGTAAAAAATGACATTAGTCAAAACTGATGAAAAATGCAAAAAGTCATAAAAATGTGTCATTTCCTTCTGTCGTAAAGTACAATTAATGTCTAAACAAATACCCCTTTTTTCTAAAGTGAAAAGAAAAAAGAAATGACATTAAAATCTGTTCCCTATTACACCCTATTACCCAAATGTAATATTAAGTTGGTGTATTGCGTTACCAAGTTCTCAAACTTAATTGCAAAATTATTAATAAATCTAATCTATTAATCATTCAAATATGTATATAGTAAAGGGATAGGTAGAGTTTCTGGAGCTGAAAAGAAGGTTGGATTGAGGTCCTCCCTCCCCTCCATGTCACAAAGATTTTATTGTTGTTTGATGAAAATAAATCAAATATTTAATGAAGGGGAAGGAAAGGGTGTGAAAATTGCTGAATCTTAGCTTTTCTTGGTCCTCTTAGAAACATTTCACACAGAACTGGTTCAAAAGATTTGGGAGCATTTTTTTATTCCACAATATCCTTTTGATCTATTTTGTTTTGATTTGAACCTAGTTTTCAATTTAATAAAAGGGGCAACAGCTGAGAAGTAGTAAATACATCCCATGAAGTTTCTTAAAACTTAATTCCAATAAATTACAATGTTAATCTCAGTAAATCAATGACTATGATATTTGCAATATATTTTATAAATTTTATATTAATGTCTGCACTTTGTGTAGCCTAATGTGGGTAGCGTGTGAGGTAATCGATGATCAATGGAACACTACATTTACTGGCAAATTTACATACAAAATTAATACAAATGTAGTAGTATTACATATTTTCATAATTTCAATTACATAAGAAATTATAAAAATATGTACTGTTACTTTTTGAGTGCATATGTATTATATATAAACAATTGTTAAAAATACTGTCTGCTATCGGTCATTAACTTTTTCACAATTGTTTTTCTAATTTTTGTAAAAACCTATTCTAACCATTCAATTCCAAATCCATCATGAATATGTTACCCAAAAGTCAAAAAAGTATGGAAAACATTCCCATAGTAAAAAAGGAAATAAAAACACAAGGACTACATATAAAAAATACGGTTTGGAATAAAAATTTACACTACCATTTTGTAATTAGAAACAATTATTGCACAATAATTATTTCTGAAAATTAAAATGTTTTGAAAATAATCTGATCTTCAATAGTATATTTTCTGATTGTATTGAACACATGATAAAAACTAACATTACAAATAATATATCTTGAACTTTTTAAGCATAGAAATTCTTTGAATGTTTTCTTCGTATCAAAAGAATAGTATTGCAAAAGAGTTATGATTCAACATGACAAATCTTGAATTAAGATTTAAAAAATTGTTGTGAATAAGTGCATTAAGCAAATTATCATTTACATTTTGTATATCTAGATAAACAAAATATGCCAGAACATAATCCACGATCAATTCATTAACCCTTCAATGTAGGGTGCCCTTGTGATATGATGATCCTCTCATTACTATCTGGGAGTATCTTTTTCTGCATCAAGGGATTTACTCCTTTATAGTTGGATGTTATCTTGAGACATATGGTCACCAAAGCAGAATGCTCAGCTGACAAACTGCTGGTGAGGCACCCAACCCTTTTCCTTTCCCCTGCCTTGAATGCTACTGCACCCAACCTAGGCTCTGCATCGAAGGGTTTAATTACATCCACAAAACCCTCAAAAACACTAAGAAATTAAAACCTTTTAATTTTAAGAATTTTCATGAACACAAATGTAATAAATGAAAAAATAAACAACTCACGTCAGTAGATGGGTTGTTTGAAGCTTCTACATTAGTGGGTAGCGTATCGTAAAGTACGCCATCGGGTGAAGAAGTCATCATAGGCCCATAAGACTGTCCTGCAGCCACAGGGGTGACATTGTAAAATAGTTCGGGTGGATTCATTGGGCTGGGGCTGTAGAAGTGCTGAGGAGGCATTGGAGTCAGAGGAGTCCCAGGAGGGGGCGCCCCACCCCCAGAAGCACCATTTGACGATGATGTGGCTGTGTAAACGTACTGAGAGTTTTGTGCTGGTGGCTGCAAATAAGAATCAAACTAAATTGGGATCATACAATACTGAGGAAAAAGTATTTCTGATACATGAAAGGGAGAAAACACTCATGGTATTCACATAATATGTAGCTAATTCCAAAATTTGTTTCAAAAAACAAAAAGAACCATTAGCACAAATACAAAACAAAAGCATTGCACCATGCATTTTAATATAAACTTCGGCATAAATTTTTAACAAAAATGTTTATATTAGGAAGCACTATTGCAATAAGGACGCACCAATGAAAAGAAATATAAAATTCATTTCCACAAATTTTGAGTAATTTCAGGAAACTAAGGGAACAACATGTGCACAACAGTAATCATCATTGCCAATACAATACAAAACAAAACAAAACAAATAAAATTTTAAGTTAATTTGGAAACACATTCAAACTAATGCAATATCACTGATTAAATGATGCAATAACATTCAAAATGGGGAGCAATATGCTTTTATCATCTACAAATTGTTAAATCACGTAATTTCATTATTTGTATAGCACAACAAAAATTCTTCAGATACCAATTCCACAATGTAAGTAGGCAAGGTATCGCACTTCATGAGAAGCACACAAGTAGAGGAACTCATGAAATGCATTTTCCAACTAGACTGGATAGATAAAACGTTCATATTTAAACAATAATTAAATATATTTAAATGATTATTTTAACATCAATTATATATTTTATGACATGTTTACACTGGTTTTTAAAAGACAGTTAAGTCTACTTTGCAGAAGTATTGTTTCACTATGTTCCTTTGCAAGAATAACATTAGCTACTTGCATAATGCCTGAAATAAATCCTTCAATGTATGGGTGTAATATATTAACCAATCTTTTTATTTCACAGTATTCTAAATTCAAGAACAACACTCTTTACTAACCATATATAAGTATGTCCCAGCCAATGTAGGCTAAACAGTCAATTTAAATAATTTTTGAATTGTTGTTTGGTACAAAATTATACATAACTCCTTAACAACTCAGTAACATTTTTGAAACAGCAAAGTCTACTTTTGATGTTTGTGCCTAATTAGAGCACAAAATTTTTATCTGCCCAAGTTATATGCAACAAACATATCCATTAAGACATTTTGGTAAAAAACATTTTTTTAAACGTAAAAAGACTCCTAAAACAGATTTTACCAATATAATCTGAACCCTGAAAAAGTTCTCGGTCTGAGAGTGAAAACACATTTTTTGGAATTAAATTGCATTTATTTTTCTACCTCTTTACTCAGTCCACTGCTTTTCTAGTATATTCTATCCGTAGGTGCAAATATGAAAGATCTGCAAAATATGCCACCTTCCTCTGCTGCACCCAATTCCTTCATTGGATCCCTTTCCTTCATAGATCAATTCCCTTTTCCCAAGATCAAAGTACCTTGTGACCAGAAGCATTGAACTTTTTTCAATCCAGGTCTCTTGTCGCAAATTATTTTATCCATTTCGTCCAGAAGACTAATATTCACCATAAATGGTTTTATCTTTTGAAAGATAATCAATTACAATAATCTCTTCGGCAGCTCAAAAAACACTTGGCAGAAATTTTCTGGAAATGAAATAGTTTGCACCAGTTTTCACCCACTGCTTTGAATGCATTTCCTTTCTGGAGTGTAGTGATGGATCCACATCTCAAACACTATAAGAAGCTTTCTTATATGTAATTAATGTAAAATGTATTACAAGTTCTTCAGAGATGTGGCTCTTTTAATCTCCAGTCTTTCTGTATAATGTGCACTTTTTCAAAATTTTCCTCTCTAGTTACAGTTCCTCTCTAGTTCTGGAATATTCTTCTTGTGGAATATCCTTAAAGAGAAGAATGATGTGCAAGAAATATGCTGTGAACTAACAGAGGAAACTGGTGGTGGTAGAAGTAGGTCAGGTGATTTATATACCTCACATCACCAAGGTAGTTTTAATAAATCGAAACCTCTTCACTGGGTGTGACAAAGTTTCTTATCATAAGAATTTGCATTACATTTGTGACTTAATAAAATTGTTTGTCATCATGTTTGAACGTTCAGCTCTTTAGGCATTAAATTATCACATTATTGTGTAGAATGGAACAAGATAAAATGTCAACACCTTACTCTACTGAATAGGTGGAGATGATGGGTCCATGTTATTGCAGTCACGACAAGCAAGTTCATTTCTCACTAAATTAAATCTCAGTTCTAAAGTTACTCTTAGAGAAAGAAATTCTTCAAATTAAAATATAAAACCATCCAATTGCACAATAAAAGACAGACCATTCCATGAATCAATAGCATCTCTCACTAAACCTTGAGACCTGCTAGTTAGGTTTGTGTGCAGAAAGGGAATTACATTTTTGGTATTATATTGACTATAATACATTAGAATATGTATTTACATTCGGCTTTCTAATATCTCTCTGACAGAAATAAGAAAGTAGGAATATAAAATTGTTTTTAATAGATCATTCTATAAATCAATGATAAATGAGAATTTCAAGAATAATTTATACAGCAATTGATAACAACTAAAGCTGAATATCTAATACCTGTACTCATATGAATATACTTAAATGAATACATATGTACTACAGATGTATGTAGCAAATTTGCAAACCTTTGAATTTGTTCATATCAAATCAGGGAATATCAATTTTGGAGAAAATCAACTGAACTGCTTAGGCACTAGCGTTGACCACAGACAGACAGTCGATTGATTTGTAGTCAATTGATCTTTCAATACCAAAGACCCCCAAATGGATTCTGGTTAAATCGCATGTTAAAAGGAAATAATTTACTACATGCATGAACATGATTTATCCACTTTGATACCAGGACGAGTTTTTTCTGTCAAAAATTTAGTTTTCCGACACATGATTATATTACTTTCTCGTCTTTTGAAGTAAGGGCGAGAAAGTAAAAACAGTGCCACTGTTGCAGTAAATAATGTACATACTTGCTTAACCAATCATTTTTTTGCTTTCCTGTACTTTTACACTTTCTTCCATTGGCCCCCTGCAAAGTGTAACTTCATATATGCATCCAAAATATAGTAACTGAAGATAGATTTCATTTTTATAAAAAAAAAGTAAAACAAAAAATTGGCATTACCACAATAGAAGGGTGGATCCAAAAATTGAGTGTATTTTGCCCAACAAGACTGACAGAGAATTGGATTTTTAAGAAGATTTTCAGATGTATATATATATTTATAAATACAATAGTTAAATAATTATTTTACAACGTCAATTTCTTGATTTAGTGAATCTCTCTCTATAAAATCCCCACTACAAAAACTAACCCGGGGGAGCATGACCCCGTGTGCTGAAGAACAAACTTCATTCACGCAAAATAAAATTATTTTTCTTCAACTGTTACGAAAGATATAGCAAAACTAGGTGCACACTTGCCTCCCTGTAGATCATCTGTTTCCAAGTTTGTTTCAGTTTCCATTATATTTAATTCAGTGCCCATTACAGGCAATCCATAACAGCTGACACTTCAACATTAAAAGAACCTGGACGGCAAAGAAATTGATTTTTTGTCTTTAGTAAATGAATTTCTGCTGTTTCCTTTGTAAAATGGTGTGCAACTCATTCTAAAAGTTCAAACTATAGTTCAAACTAAAATTCCAAATGTACATGTTGCAGAGTGAAGGGGACGGGGTCCTGTTGCCCACTACTCTTGAGATTGTATTGAATTGAATTTGCCTTATTTTACGTGGCAAGACTCGGGCCATCAGGCCCACTCTTCCATCTGACCACGCAAATTTCGCTACACTCCTTTCACCAACTAGGAGAGAAAGGAGGTATTTCTTGGGCGAGAAACAGGCGATTTGAATTTAGCTCAGAGGCGTCATTTAAATTGACGGAGAAGTCATTTAAATTGATGGAGATTGTTTTATTTTAATTTACAATTAGTTACTGTAATACATTGGACAATGTATGTGTTCATAAATTGCTTATAGTTCAGACAAAAACAGGACTGTGCCCAGTGATACTGCTCTTCAAGTGTTTTTTCCTCCGCGTTTGAGGAGATTTTGACTCACGAATGCATATTATGATTAAATCATTTAATTTGGGCTCGAAGAACAAAAATATTTTGTATAATAAAAAACATTCAGTTTGGCATATATCTCATAGGGGTTACAGTGTTGAAAGTAATATGACAAAATGTCAAGCATTTCAAAGATTGAAGTGAACCTAGACCTACATATAAGCAACAAAAAAAATTGAGAGAGAGAGATGAAGAAAAGCAGAAGAATCAGAAAAATCTTGAAAATATGCATAAGGTACAAGAAAAGTGCTTGAAGTGACAACTTCCATATAAGAAGACCCTTGGTTCACTCTCCTATTGGAACTGAATGTTTGCTTCAGGAAGGTGTTAAAATCTTTGGGCTTCACTTCCCGAAAAAAATTCTATTTTTATTTTTTTTAATGAAAGAAACATTTTCTTAATATCTGTTAGACTCATCCCCATTAAATTTTCACATCTAATGTAAGATATACCAATACATACTTTAACTGGAGATATTTGAAAAAGTATTTTTCACTAAAATAACTGCCAAAACATAGCAATTTATTGGGGTACAATAATTTGGGGTTCACTAATATTCAAAAATTTATGTTAAAAAAATTAACGTTTTGCAAAAATCTATCGTTAAAGAATGTAAGAAAAGTTAGATAATTTGAGGGGGAAAATTGAAGAACAAGAGTTTTCATAGCTTCTGAGAAAATGTTCCTCAAAGAATCTCCTGTGTGACGTGGGAGAGATGCACCTGAGTACCCTTAAGCAAATTGTGGGGTAACTACACACGGTACTTTTACAATGAATGTCAATGAAAATATCAGTCTTATAATTATCTATATATGGATACCTCAAATGCCTAAGTGTTCCAAGAAACAATTAATTATTTTGAGAAAATGAGAGAAACGTTGTAGTTACTATAGTGTTGGGGGGTGTATGCTTATAGTTACTGTAATCAATGAAGAGTTTAATAATTCTTATTTATGATCTTATCTATTAGTATATATAGCAAATTAATTATTGATGTGCAAATTTTACCATGTAGTTTCATTCATTATTTTTCAAGATTAAATGTCAATTACAAATGCTAAAAATAGTTATTTTTTAAGGACAAAGTAATGAAATTTTGTTATTTAGTTTTTTTAAAAAGACCGAAAATTATTGTTTTTAAGCACAACGCTACATTGCACTACATACTGAACATTAGTTACACACACAACAAATTCCCTCAAGTTCTGCTTTTGCTAGTATGAAAAATTGGTTCATAAGATGATGAATAGTAGAAACTAAATTATATTTTCCATTTTAAACACTTTCAAGATTACTACCTCTTCTTGTAGCTAGTGAGTCTTTGCTTTCTTCAGATGCTCTTCTCGGAACAAATGGGAGGCTGTTCAAGGAAGGATGATATACTAGTGGTATGTATTTCAACAACTCGCACAGATCGACGATCTTATCTTGGCTTATTGGATATGACTTCTCATCTTGTTTTGGAATAATCTTGGCCAGAACAGTTACACATGCAATTCTATTATTTAAGTTGTTTACACTTCATGATAATTATTCGTGATATAAGTTTCTCCACACTTCATCAAAGTACAGCCTTTCTTGAACATTGACCAACGCATCATTGACATCATTATTTCACTTCTTGTTCATCTTCTGACAGACTACTTAAGTACAAAGGGCAATTTTTTAAAATTTTCTTTACTGTAATTTTTCTTCTTTCTTCCACAGCATTTAATCAGTCCTTGCCATATCTCCAGCATGCACATTAATCTCTTCTCATTTTATGTCTGAGAAGTTTTCATCAAATTGAGTGATCAAGTATGAAGGGGTTTTCTTGACAGACCGATTCACTTAAATGTTTAGAAATCTTAAAACCATACAATTTTAAGTTATAATTATTCTTTCAGGTAGTTTTAAAACAAAGTTTCAAGGAATAATATTTTTCCCCATCTTCAGGACGCAAGACAATTAATATAATCAAATAAATATGAACATCGGCCAGTGCAAAAGCATTTTCGCCATGGTGATCTCATAAGAGGAACAAGTGGTCACCACTGAATGGAAAACACAATGGACTGCGATCGATTCAAGATAGGAGAACGAAGAGGGCCTCAAAATACTGTTAAATAAAAAGAGAAAAACAAATTAATTCTCTCGAGTTTCCAAAATGTATCGGAAGCTTTTATTTTTATTATCACAAAGGGGATTATCTTTCAACTTAAGTTGAAAATTTATGTCCCTTTTCATTTAATGCCCTATTTTCATTGAAGCTCTTTCTGTTTAATTCTCTTTATGTGACCATGATGACGAAAGTGCTTTTGCACTGGCAGGAGCACATATTTATTTTAATGTATTGTCTTGGGGTGAGTCTCCACAAATGGCATATTGTTTTATACTGAGTGCTTCTATTTTGATATATTTGTATCACTATAATATTATATTTGCTGTATTATTCATTGCAGCCTGAAGATGGTGAAAAAAGATTTCTCAAACTGTTGTAATAAAACTGTTCAAGAAAAATTAAAAATTTCGTTAAAATAACTGCCAAAACAAAGCAATTTTTGGGGGTGCAATTTTCACTTATTTTCAAAAATGAATATTAATAAAATTTATATTAATTTAATTATAATAATTTTAATTTATATTAAAGAGTACTGGAGGAGGAAGAGGGAAGGACAAAGGAAGAATCAATGAAATTGGTGCGCGGTCCCTAGATGACCCAAACGAAAGAAGAAGAAAATTTATATTATTATATTTTCTAAGATTGTCTGTCTAGAAAACTCCTGTGGTCAAAATATCTTCCAAAGTGAATAAAATGTGTGGAGACCCTTTTATGTAGACTATAAACATCTCTCTTGTAAGTGGAGAAGAGGTAGAGCCTTCTTCACGTGAAAAGTTAAGTTTCTTCCCTTTCATTTATTTTCTTACTTTATTATTTTTATTTTTTTCTTGAAAACTGACATGCTTTCTCAGCAAAAACATGATGGTCTTTTAGTATTTCTTTCTCCATGACCGCTCACTCAATCAGTGCAAATAAAATGTCACAGGTTTTGAATATATCCTTGTTTCACAGTGAAGAAAAACAGGCTGAATTAAGTGGTAAAGATCTTGTTGTATACAAAGTGTTAACAAATACATCGAATTTTTCAAAGTTCCAAAATTAATTAGCATTCTTAAATGCAACGAGTGAGTATTTATAAATGCCAGATTCAGAAATCAACAGACATGTTTTTGTCTTTAATGTTACATGGAAAATTATCAAATTTATTTACAGGTTGGCCCATTTAGAGGTTTTCTGCCAAATTTTAGTTAGCATGTTTTTGCACCATTGAAGATTTCTGCATACTTGACAAAATACTATTTGAGAGGGGGTGAAAAGTACCAAATTTAATATTTTTTTAATTTATCATTACAAAATATGTATGTGGCATGTGTAGAATAAATTACAATAGAAAATAAATGAGAAAAAGAAAAAACAACAAAAAATTCATTTGAATTAAAAATACATGCTCCTTGAAATGCAGTAATTTGTGCAATTCAAGAAACTGCATGCCATTGAAGGACTTCAAATGAGTTATTTCATTTAGCAACAAACATTTTCCAATGGGTGTTATGTCCATAATATATAGAAGTCTAAATAAGATCACAAAATGGATTGTTACATTCAGTGAAAAATAATATGGCTATTTTTAATGGAAAAGTGATGTTTTGTAAAGTTGGTTATAAGCATTACAATTGGAAGTCCAAAAGAAAATTCTAGAAATCTCAGCCCAGAATAATAATAAGCACAAAGAACTTTAATAATATTTTATTACTGGCTTTTCACCAATTAAAGCCATATATCAGCTATTCAGAGTAAAATTGTCATACAGCATCTGTTACCTTCTCCCTCCTCAAACCCAACAGACATGTTCAATTTTATTTTATTTGCTTCCTACATTTTCATAAATAATTAGAATATGAACTAATACAAAGACATTTAACATACAATTAATTAAATTGAAAATTCTGTCTATCAAAAATGTAAAATTTTCTAAAGAATAAAATTGTTTTGAAAATATTTTTCTTCAGCACCATTTTTCGTACATGTTTCAGCCACATAACAGGCTCAAGCCCAACACGAGTAACGTTTTTTTAAGCAATTTGTATTGAATTTTTACTGCATGTAAATTCAGGCTCTATTGAAAAGCAAATTAACATTTAAAACCTGTCTTAGAACCATCTACTTTATACACAACTGAATGAAACATTTGAGACAAATAGTATCTTCATAGTAGGATGGGTAAACCAAACTTCTCCGAAATTGTTTTATAGCCTTTATGATAAAATTTTTTTTTAAGTTCAGTAATTTAATATCATTAGTTACATTCTTAGTAATCTATGTCTTCAGAATCAACTGCAGAAGCACTCCACTTTGGACATTCATATTATCTATTAATTTGTTACTGCACAAAAATGAACCAAGTTTTATGTTAATGTGATCTGGAAAAATACAAGCAATGAGACTAAGCAAAGAAAGTTGTTATATTTTTCATATTTATGAAGAAAAAGTATAGAATTTGGTAGTTGCTTATGGGACACAAGAATTATTTCATAAGCAAAGGCTTCTATTCAGATAAGAAAACCAGCCTAACTGCCAATGTTAGAATTTTGTTCTAAAGTTCTTGTGAAAATGCAACTCATTTTGTGAGATGTATAGTTCCAGACAAATACAGTCAAAAACCATCTATCCAAGGAACTAGCTTTACGATGGTTACATCCAGGACATTTACTCACCCCTACAGAAAACTATAATCAAATAACAATAGAAAACATCTCACTAAATTTTACAAAATAAAGACAACATTGTGACGACAACAACAACAACAACAACAATAATAATAATAATAATAATAATAATAATAATAATAATAATAATAATAATAGAAATATTTCTTCATTAGTAATAATACAATTACAGATAAAACATTCACAACTGACAGACATATCTCAAAATCTAAATAAATTAGTATTGAAGACTAATGCATCATCCACACAACTGCATCAGCTCAACTTGTTGGGAAAAATTGTTTTGCTTGTGCATCCTTCCTTCCTTCAAATATTCTACTCAGTCTTAATTGTTAGGTGAGGCCAGTATTATCTTGTATACAATATTATGAACTTTAATTATGACAGTCAGTTATATAAAGTCTTAATTGGTGAGTAATTGAAAAAGTATAAATTATTTTTAATCATAACTGCTCGTAACATGAATAGAACTTTAAAACTTGACTGTTTAACCTCTACTGCTGTGTGTTCTTTGGACAGCGTAGTAAGTGCAACCCACCACTGTGCTTTAACTGCCAGAGCATCTGAATGGGTAGTAAGAGCATTTGATTGGGTGATAGCACCTGAAACCTTATTCTAAAATATTTAAGTAAATATTTCAAAAATTGGTTGCAATTTTTGTTTCACACTTTAGCAAGATAAAAGAAATTTCATTATTTCTTTTGGTGGAGAAGTTTTAACAAGATGCTAGTAAAAAACAAGAACATTATGATTTCTCAAAAATTCATTGTAAACTGCACATGCACACCCATTGGCCTTGCATCATTCATGGCACTCTTCATGAGTAATTGCCAATGTTCTAAGTGTAGAGTTTTTTGAAAAACTGGAACAGCACTTCAATGAATTTTCAAACTCATTTATTCACTCAGTATTAACAAAACTAAATTCAGTAGTAATCAAAAGTGGAAGTTGTCGACTGGCAAAAAACTCATGAATTTATTAGTATTAAGAATTTGAAGAAATGCATCTCTTTGCAAGTTCTATATCAAATATTAAATTTCTTTAATTATAAATTTTCAGTTATATAATTTATTTTTACTTTTTATAATATAAGAGCAAGGGTGAGTGTGTGTGAAGCAAGCTTTCTGTAATAATAAATTACATTTCACATTCACGGTTAAAATTCACATTACGGTGTGTTACAGAGGGAAGAGGTTATCCAAAATATCTCAAATTGGTATTACGCAATTTATGAACAGCTCCTTAGTGATTTTCACTCTACTTATATAACTATTTTCTCCCTCACTACCACCTCACTTCACATTGCCTCCAATGCCATCGACAAAGCTTGTATCATGGGCAGGTGTAAAATAACGTTCATTTCTATTTCTAGTTGCAAAGTATCTTCACAGTACAATCATTTTCTGAAGTTTGAAGATGGCCCATCATTCCAGATTATTGCTTATTTTGGTTGATCTTCAAACTATTTGTTGATACAACTAGCTCAAATGAGATTATACAAAGATGACAAATGCAATATCATTAGCCTTCGACAAAGTCCAAATAAACTGAATGCATTTTGCCCTTTCCATCACAGAAACTACTGAGTGAACAAGGTAAACTTTTACTTAAACAAAGAACACACTGAATTTAATTTTGATAATTACAGCTGAAAGACAGAAGTCTTCAAGTTGTATGCACATACGACCAACTTCTAATCATAATCAAAGTTTGTCTGCGGAATACATTTATGTAAACATGATTCGTTACAACTTGTCTATCAGATTAAACTAATCATCAAGTTCTCCCAAGCAAGTAACTTTAAGTAAGTGGTAATACACCACCTGGTTTTTTCCTCACTATTTGTTTCGGTAGTGCAGCAGGATTATCTTTCCATTGGAATATATGTTCTTCCTGTTTAGCAATGTTCTTCCAGCAATATGAATCTAGCTCGCTATCACAACGTCTTTCCCCAAAATCGTTTGAACATATGAAATTGGGCAAAAGCTAAATAAATGTTAGTAAAAAATTCAGTAAATATTTTAAATTTGTGAGTTAGCTTGAGCATCTTTTAGCAAATAAAATGTTTTTGTGGCAAAGGGAGAAACATTCTGATTATTGCATTTTGAAATTTGTGTTTTCCTCTTTGAAAACCATGGCATCTTTTAAAAACATGCTCAAATAATGCCTGTCATCCTTTTCCCCTTTTTCTTTCATTCACAACATCATCGTTCATTCCAGGAGGAACACACAAGCAAAGCTTTTATCCATTTCAAATTACAGATTTAAACCACACCTTTTGCTAGACTTCTTGCTATAGCTATTTTTTCTAAGTCAATTTGGGAGGGACCAAGTTTTCTTTCAAACTATTCTAAAGTGCCTTGTAGGACTAAAACGTGTTTGACAACTTGATACTGTCCTGCTTCACTCTTGAGTTATTTGGCTTTTGCTTTGTTCTCGGCACTCTCTTCCCGTCTCCCCTTTTCATATTGTCCTTCCACATTTACACTCTCCTTTCACTTTCTTGACAAAGGTAAGAAGTATTCTCTAAGTACAGAGAAAGTTATGTAATGCTGCAGAAAATCAATGTCATGAAAATGTGGGAATTCTGATGAAAATAGACTTCTGAGAGACCTTGATATGGAAAAAGAATTTGTTTTTGTTTTTTCAAAATATGTGTTTGCATGCCTGTCTGTAAAACAGCATATAAACCATTTACAGAATTCACCCTATTCCTCAGCCGATTTGGCTAAACTTGAAGCTCTGTAAATCAGAAAGTTGTATTTTAATGATTGAAGGTACTTCACACAAGGGGTATTTTTCTCAATAAAACCTGCTTTTCAAAACAATTTTTTTCTAAATGAAGTCATTTCCATTTTTTTCAAACCAGTAGTTTTCATGTACTTTTGTATCATATCATAATTTCCCACAAATATGTACACATGTTTTCCCAAAAACAAGCTCCTAACTTTCTCTTGAAGGTTTGCGTGATAATACAAACACAAACTGTGTAACAAAAGTGCTGTTTTCATGAAATCTTTATAATTTTTAAAATTAAAACTACGTATTTTTTTATAGATGCCTCTGGGAATCTGAACTGTTCGTAATTTGAATTGAACATACACATCTGGACGTTGGGAACACACTTGCAGAAGTATGTGTTGGGTCAAGGGATTCAATTCCCCACACGAAATAATCTGTTATTGGCCACAAAAACATAAGCAATCAAATCCTAGTATATGAAAGATCGGCTAGAAATACATTTCACTACTGTTACCAATAATACAAGGAAGTACTTGCTTTGGTAATATTGATAGTTTCTTTACTACATCTGATTTTTTTTCTCTTTTTTTCCCCTTTGATAACTTGGATTTTCAGCCTTCTATCCTTATAATCATGATATTTACAACACTAATCAGAATCCCAATACTTCTGATAGTGTAACTGTTCAGAAACAGAGATAATGGATTCTAATCAAACATACACACGTACAGGGCAAAACAATAAATTATAATTTCATATATATTAAGAAATGTGTTCAAAACTATTACATTTCTCTTCTTAATTATTAAAGGAAAAGTCATTATGTATTATTGCATATGCAATCTTTACGCACAATCAAGCCAAGAAGAAAGTAGTATCTGGGAATATGTATGTAAGTGCAGTGCTTATACAACTTATACAGAGATAACTCTTCTATAAAACCATAAACTATTTGAAAGCAGTGGTGAAACACTGAAATTTATAAATTCCTTTCAATTAATCAATTATTGCCTGGCACTTTTAGAGACAAAAACACATTCTGATATATCTTTACATTTTCCTGGAATTCAAAAAACCTCCACAGTAATGTTTGTTGAGAAAATCAGATTTTCTATTGACAATGTTATTTTAAACCAAAGAACTTATCATGAATACATATCTTGGTATGTGAAACAACTGAAAAATTAACATGTTTATTATAACTTACTTTCAGGAAAGGCAATACTTTACAAGGCATTTTTATAAGAAGAAAAATTTTGATGTATCCATACAAACTGAATTTTGACTTATTATAGATAAGTACAAACCCACTTGCCATAAAAAAAAAAAAGAAAACATGCCAAATATTATGATCAGTGCTCAACAGAAAAGTAACACAAAATTACCATAAAATATCAAATACGAAACCTAAACATTTGTAAATTCATAATACCAATTTTGCTTCACCAGCTCCTGCATAATTTTTTAACAAACTGCAAATACAGTAAATGAATGCAAGCAAATATCATGAAAGACAGAAGTATACAATTTCATTTGAGTATTTTCAAAAACAAATTGCATCTGAACAACACACGAAAAGGGGTGTCAAACATACATATAAAAAAAGAATTCTCTGTATTAAAAAAAACACATTTTTCAAATAAATATCTATTCAACATTGCGAACATCATACAAACAGCTGCATCTCATTTGCATTCCACAAAAACAAACTGAAGAAAAATAAATGCATTCAACATAAAAAGCAAAACGATAATATTTTTGGATAAGTGCATGAAGACTACAGGGCAAAAGACATGAGAGAGCCATGCAGTGTCCCACCTGGCCTGGGGTGCCCCTGCACTGGGACTCAATACAGCCGATCCATGACTGGGGCCAGGTAAGGCAGAGGAACTGCACCCTCTGGTACCAGCCCAACCCCAGACTGCCAGCACCACAAGAAACACCATAAAGACTTCACCTCCCTTCTAATATATTTCTTACTACTGCAATACCACATATCACTCGCTTTTCATTTAAAACTTTTTAACTATGTTGAGAGTACACACATCTACAATTTGACATTTCAGCTTTAACATTCCAAAGCTAAAAATTGAAAACCTCCAACATAACACATACGAAATTAAAACTTTTGCAGTTAACACCTAGAAACCTTTACAAGAACATGTTAATAGTAATCAATTCCACACGAACAATGTTCATTCAAAACTGAACATAATTAGTAACTTTTGAGACCCATTCAATTTCAATTTTCTGCTATTTTAAAATACTATCTACAATATTTTACTTACTTTCTACCTAACACACACATTTGTGTTAATGAATTTAGTAGACAAGTAAAATAAACTACTGAAATAAACCATTTAAAAGATTACATTCTTCTTACAGCTGCAAAATATATTAAGACTAAAAAGCACAAAAACTAGTACTTACTGGCATTGTCTGGAAGGGATACTGTTGCGACATGAACACAGGTTGTGCACAGGGATAAATTAGTGGATACGCAGCAGCAGCTGCTGCAGCAGCCGCGGCAGCAGCAGGACTAGTAGTAGGTGCTGGTGAAACGTATGCAGCTGAATCAAATTATCAAACATTGTATGATTTACACAGTATCTCATAAAAATTAATTTAAATTCAAGAAATAACATACACTTACTTTGATACATGGCACTAGGGTCTCCTGCACCACCCATTGGAGTGTTTGCAGTAGGGTGAGGTGGAGTGGTTGGAGCAAAATACGCCATACCATTGTGAAACGTATATGGCATACCATTTTGATAATAAATAGTATTACCTGGCACAGCAGGTGGGGAAGTCACTTCGTATGAACGATTAAATGGCTGCATTCAACAACAAAAAATTATAAAGAAACCTATTTTCTAGGACACAAAATAGAAAGAAAAAAAACACCAACCTGTTTCTTAATAGCTGGAGCAATGTTAAGTTTTCGTTCCTTTAATACAATACTTTCCGACTGCAAGAAGAAAAACACATTGTATATTCAAAAGAGAACATGATTAACACCTTTATAACAAAATAAACTGTAACTGTACAAACTTCTTGCATTAATCGCTTAGCTTCCTCTTCCGTTTCAAAAGTTACAAAGCCATAACCTTTAGATACTCCAGCACGATCACTAATAACTTTTGTGGCTTTAACATTGCCATATGCTGCAATAAAAATTAATGAGACATGTAATTTTGCTAACTATTCTAAAAGATCATTCTTTCATATCACTGAATTACAGACAGATTAATATACCTGAAAACAGCTGGGCAAGCTCAGTCTCTGTAGTATTTCCTGAAATCCCTCCAACAAAAATGCGATTTGGCACCAATGTTCCATATTTTGGTGCATTGTTTGAAGGTGGTTGTGTATTATTAGGATTTACCGGAGATGATGGTGTTGATGAAGCTGAGGATCCTTCAGTTGTACAGGTGCTGGCTGGAGACTGAAAATGGAGCACAAACATTACACATTTAAAAAATAAAATGTTAATAAAACATTTTTATTAAAAAGAAAAATATTTTCCAAAATAAGAGTAAAAATGTATGACTCAATCCAACAGTCTACAAGCACAGTCTATGTAGCCATCAACCAAGTGAGAGGTGTCACAAAACCTCACTTAATCTTCATATGATAAAATATACAATGTTAAGTATATATAATTTACAGCTGAACTTGTGAAGTACATTTAAAAAATTTGTAACAATTTGTCAATTTCATTAAAAAGTTTTAATTCAAGAACTCGTGTGCAGCAAGCACTGCGAGTTTCAAATGCTGTTCACTGAACAAACATCTCATTACTATATTGATCATTGATAAAATGCAATAATGACTTGCTATCTGCAGGCTAACATTGCCAACTGTGAGTATCTTAAATTGGAGCTCACCAACTGCAATGCAACAATTAGAATTGTATGGGAACTGATCGTGCAACACTCAGAACAGCTAGGAATCTGTCAGAAGATTAAGTACTTTCACAAGCATATTCTGTTAAATTAAATATTACAATATTTTTTGTAATATTATGCAATATGCATGTGACAGCCATAATTCTTTACAGACACGAAAACCTTCGAAATTAAATAATAATGATAATAATTGGACTCCAAAACCCCAAACCACAAAACTTGCCACAAGAAAATCATCAACTCTTGCTTGTAACAAAGCAAATAAATAAAGATATTAAAATCCGTTGCTACAGGGAAATCAGATATACATCAGATATATTCAGCAAATCCCCCTCCCCCACCTGCATTATTACTAACAATATCAAACATAGTAACACAGGATGGACATAAAATTTAGAAAACTAAATTTCCCTGTCTTCTTCCAGTTTTAGATATATCAACATGTATTTTCCCAGACTACTGAAATTATTTCAACAAAATCTGAAATACTCTTCCTTGAGGAGGCAAACGACAGATTTATATGATTTTCTTCTTTTTCCCTTTTTCTCTCTCCAAAACTTGTATCTTCCTTTTATCAACATTTACTCCTATTTTTTTCCTTTTTACATAGCACTGCCATTATGATTAGTATAATATTAACAAATTATTCCCGTGCACAATAGAAGTAATAACCTTCATCGAACATTTGAAAATTGAAGTAGCTAGCTCATAACAATTTTGCAGAAACGTTGGTTAATTTAATTACTTAAGGATATTATATTATTTCAACTACAAATAAATAATATTCTTCATTCATACAAAAGCTATAAATGTTCTCAGTAATTAATAGAAATGAATAAAATTTAATTCTTCTATAATTTTAACATAAATGAAAATAAAGGCTTATATTTTAATTATAATGGTCCCTTAAAAATTAACTAATATTAAATAATATATATAATTTAAAAAATATTTTGAGGTATTCAAGACCTATATAATCTGAAAAGCATTTGACAAAAGTCAATTCGTGTTTTTAATAATTATGAGTTATAAATCTTTTTGCTTAATAATGGTATGAGAGAATGTCTGTATTCGATTTAATAAATCATTTATCTAAAAAGTACTTCATTAATAAAAATGTAATTGATATGACAAGTCATGTCAGTCAGAAGGTGGACAACAGCAATTTTGAACTCTGTAGTTATGACCAACTCATTGCATTTTCTGTTAATACTTTCATATTTTTTAAATTATGAAGACTAATTCCTTCAATGAAGAACTTTGGCAGGGTCATAGTTTTTCCTATATTTTGAAATGTTCAGACAAATATTTGAAGAATTGCAAACCCTCAGTAAACAAAAGTAGTAATAAAAAGGAAATCCATCCAATCAAAGGAATTGTTGGAGATTCTACTCATTCTCAAAAACATTTCACAATCTATGCATGGAATGTCATTGCATGTATAGATTAACTATAGATTGGTCTGCCACAGTAGACTGCCAGCTGTTTGACAACATAAGATGAGGCAATTTTTAATAATACTAGTGCACACCATACTATTTCCAATAAATAAAAAAATTCTATTATTTTCCACTAATTTTGCAGACAAACTTCTTAACACTCCTAGTTTTTCAAGTCTCTCCCCATCCTGTTCGAACAAAAGAACTCTCATATTTTCACGAGAAATTACTAATGGTCTTAATAACAAAATGCCAATTCAAATTTGGCACTTAGGACAAATCTGTATCAATTCATTTGTGGATTAGTTTTATTAAATATCATCCCCACATTGAAAATTTCTAGATTTACAGAAAATTTTCATTAAACTACCCAGAAAATTGCATTTTGGGCAGTATGGTCAAATCATAATTGAAATACATGTCTTTCTTCTCAAGCAATTAGGTTGACATGAATTACACATTGGCTTTCCAAGTTTTATTTTGGTGGATTATAAAACTCTACAAAAGACAAACATTGTCATGTTGTAGGATTTTATTTAATTTTGAGACATAATAAGTAATCAAAAAATGAATATAATTACAAGAAGTAAATGTTCAGGTATTCAAATAAGAAAACAAAATAAGATGTTGGGAAAATTATTTCCTATTCCAAATTATATAGCTAGAATCTTCAATTAAAAACTTTCTCAAAGTCAAATCAGGAATCAATTTCTGAAGTAGAAATACAATCCCAGAAATATAATTATTTTCAAAACACATTCAAATTTCATTAATCATATAATGTTCCTTTCTTCTTTATGTACTTAATTGCCTTCAAAGTTTGTTCTTAAAGCGAGGAAAAAAAATTTTGGAGGGAATTTTGGGTATTTAAACTCATTTATGTGATAACAGTCCAACAATTTCAAGAGTTTTTTTTTTTTAATATCACGAGCAAAGGAAGCAACAATTTAAAATCAAAAATATTACTTAGCATCATTTGAGCATGTATTAATACTGTGCAGAAATTATCACAATGCCCATTACTGCAAGTTAAAAAATTGGAACTTCCAAAGATTAAATGACAAGAAACCATTTTTCTCTGAATATTTTATTTTTATTTTCAGAATTTTTTAAATTTTACATTTAAAATGATAAACAAAAAATATGGTGGAACTTTACTTCAGCTTGTCCACTCCAACTCAGAATGTTATGCATTTTTGTATTACACGTTTTTGGTATAAAATTTAAGATAAATTGAATAAATACATTCTTTATGGTAAAGTATATTAATGACCAAGTTGACTTTTTTTCCTCATGCAGTTCCAAGTCAACACTAAGGTTCTGACTTCTAGCTTATGCAACTTTTATTCATTATCCATGAAGTAGCAAGACACTTCATTTTTGCCTCTAATAAACCTTTCTAGATTCAAAACCACAATCTGGATCAACTGATGGAATATCATTCAATTTTTGAGCACATTTCATGTTTAAGGTGTTACAAAAATGCAACTAACAAAAAATGGGAAAGAAAATAAGCTTTCTGACCTTTCTGCAAAAACCTCTCAAATGCAAAACACCATTTTTTATTTTTTTATGATAAGGTAGAATGGATTGTTGAAAAGAACCATGTTCATATCTAAGATGCTAAAGAAAAAAATTTGATTTTTCTTCTACATTTGTGGAAACTCAATATCAATTCTAAAAATGATTATTCTTATAAGAACATTTTCTTGCAATTATTCTTTGAAACCTGCTTTGAATGATTAGCTAATATAAAAAAACTCTCATGCCCATGAACATCATGACCCCTGGGTAAAATACAATATCAGCCCAATTTCTAACCGAAGCATAAGGATTGTATTGATATTTACTGTTCTTCTTGGATAAATATTTACCACTTTCAAATCCAATTATCACTCACAGAAAATTACTAAGCTGGTAATTTTTAACATTTCACTTACACATATTCTGCCATCCAAGAAAACTTAACTTTTTTCTCTCCCTCATAACAGTTAATTAAATTTACAAATTGATATTCATTATCATACATTACAAAAGTTCAAAAAACAATTTAAATATTTTTTTTGCTTTAAACAAGTATTACATGCATGTGCTTATATTTTTAACAATAAACAGATTTTCTACATTCCGAAATGTAAGATGACTTTCCGCAACAAGTGTCTTCAATGTTTCTAATAAAAAACTGTCAAAAAGCAGTAACAATACAGCTATTGTAATTGAATCTTTGTTAAACACAATAACAAGCTTCAACACTTTAAAAAAATACTTATGCCTTACAACACAAAACTATGTGAAAGGATATAAACGATTGTTCTCTGCACTGTTTCTGATATTATCCATGCACGTTTTCTTGAACCTTAGTTTCACGAGACGGAAAAAGAGTAAGTGTCGGGGGAGGGGAGATTTTGATGAAGGACTATTATATCACACCTGTAGCTAATTATTTGATGCAAAATAATTTCTTTTAGATGGGAACGGACATATCTAGTAATCAGATTTTGTCATCAATACTCATTGCAATCATATATTCTCAATTCAACTAATATTTGCAAATGAGTGGGGGGAGTGTATTCAGGGGCTCAAGAAAATGTGCACATACAATACTTTTGAAATGTTTACAATACCAAACACATGCAATAGAAAAAAATCACCAAGAACAAAATATGACAACAGAATACTAAAACAGAATTCCTAATTCACCAATTCTTCAAAATAAAAATAAATAATATTATATGACAATATATGACAACTCCCACAAATTAATATTATAATTAGTTTTCAAAGAAATACACAAAAGAAATGTCTTTTTTACAATAAATTAACATTGCTAGTATAAAATATTTTCTCTTTCAAGTTTAAATTAACATTGGTTAAATAAATAATTAAGAGTATATACTTTACCTCATATTTCTTATTAGGATTTGATGCCATGACTATATAGTAGCGAGGTGCAAGAGAAGCTAAGCTACTCAGAGGGTGGAAGTTATTCTGCAAGCTGTAAAACGAAATACAAACACTTTATTCCATACCTAAAGCACGCCTAAGAGATAGTTACGACTACACGAACGATCTAGGATATGTGTAAGTAGTACATCAATTATTTCGCGAGTTTAGGCTATACCGCCAAAATAATTTATTCCTATTCTTCACGATTCGGGCGCGATAAAAGAAAGAAATAAAGCTTTATGAACACAGGATTACCCTATCCCTGAAGCAGCATCACTTAATTCTAGAATCACACTCGATCAACAGAACAAAGAAATTTATATGTATTACGATATTTAGCTTCACGCTCGGTGAGATTTGCAAAACCAACACAAACGGAATACACGTACTATATCATTTTCAAGGAAGCATGCTGAATCAATTCTGACATGTAGTTGACTTCTGCAGGTTCGTTTTGTAAGGCCAGGTCAACAAGTAACAATAATAAATAACACAAAGAAGAAGTTCAAATAGAAATACCGGTCATCATCATGATTCTATGCAGAGAGAACACTGTCATCAAAACAAATATTAGATCGAACTATCAAGGCGCCAAGAAATACTTTCTATTTCGCACTTGCACCAAGAAGAATCACATTTTTATAAGTTTCTTCCAAGTAACACATTTTTTCTTAAGCAAAACTTACCATGAGCGAAACGTTAAGCAGTAATCAGTTCCACTAATAATTCCAACCTTGTTAGGATTTAGTCGGAGCTCGTCTGCTGTCAACTCAGCAGTACAGAGCTCGTAAGATGGCAGACCGCGGAGAGAACTGCTCTAAACGTCTAAATACAGACACGATAGAAGTAAAAAAAAGAAGTCTGGACTGGAGAAAAATAGATCGCCGGCAATTCGTTCACTAGGAAAAGAATACCTATGGCTATTCACCCGAATTAGATTGCAACAATTCGAATAGGTTTAAAATTTTCGAATATGCCAGAAAAAAACGTGTCATTTTTTTCCCATTGCCTCCAACAATGGCGCGCGTGCTTTGTTGCGCTACTGCATCATGTTATGATTTCCTTGAAGTAAATTTGTACGAATGCACCCGGCCATTGTATTACCTGTTGTACTTTCCGTCGAAGATAGTGCTTATTTCATCTTGCGGGCTTTCTCTTTGCCACCACGTATTATAGGGATGAAACATTGCTAAAGGCAGCATGTCTTGCCAAAGGGTGTCATTGAATATTATGTCTCTAAATTTCTCACCCGTGATAATGTATAATGAGAGTTGCTTCACAAAAGCCCTTCCATATTCATTGGAAAATCACCTGTCATTTTTAACATCGAACGTCTTGTTGGCACAATTCATTCGTCAGATTAAACGAATAAACGATGAGCAAAAGTAATTCGATACAACCGTATATTAAACTGAAAAATATCGTTGCTGTTTGGAAAATGAAATCATCTGTTGCGATGGTGTATTGACTCAATTGTTGAGGACAACAGCAAAATCGCTATGATGTGCGAAATAAAGCATGGTACTGAATGTAAATACAGAGTGTATACACAAATCAATTGCCAATGCTGTCACCATTTTCTTATATTCTTAGTTATAACTACACTCTTGTAACTGACATTAATATTTTATAATTTAAAAGACCCTTAAGAAAAAGAAAACAATTTTATCAATAATTATTCCATGAAAATCAACCCGGAAAGGAGTAAATATGTCAATGTTGGTAATAGTGCAATTCGTAGAAACGATGAATTCTCGAGTACTGCGCGAGGGTTGCGGACATTTTGTTGTTTCGTGCGTTTCGTGGTATTGAATATTCTTCGTTGAGAGAGATTAGGCCCTAAAATGGGTACTCCGAAGCAGGAGAATAATAGCGTAGTGCAAGTTGCAAATTCTGTCAAGAAACCGTATGGAATGATTATTTTAACACTAAAGAACTGCCTTTTACCAGAAGAAAAGCTGTCGCCCACACCTTCGCAAATAGATGGCTTGGATCAGGAAACTGAAACTGATTTACGTGTTCTGGGGTGTGAATTAATCCAAACTGCAGGAATATTACTTAAACTACCTCAGGTAAATACTTTTCTGCTTATTCATTTCATTATCCTATAGGCCAGTAGAAAGTTTAAGCGTCATTATATAGACCTTGATCCTTGGACTCTCAAGTCGTTTCGAGTTTTCGATTTGATGAATCATTGTTTAAATTCATCTCAGCAATTTCTACAATAGCTATGATCTATCATAGAATTATGTTATTCGAAGAATGTTGGTGTAACCTTTTTCTGCTATTGATAATAACATGTGAGGTTGGTGTGTTACATTTTCAGGTTGCAATGGCTACTGGCCAAGTACTTTTCCAAAGATTTTATTATTCGAAGTCTTTTGTTCAATATGCCATGGAAACAACTGCAATGGGATGTGTATGCCTTGCATCTAAGATAGAAGAAGCTCCGAGAAGAATACGTGATGTTATTAATGTGTTCCATCACATTAAGCAAGTAAAGGGACAGAAGTAAGTATCTTTCTCTCTGGCTTATAAAAAAGGTGATTGTTTGACATCGTTTTACACATCTAATTTGCTTTCTGGATTGCAGTATTTCATGTTTTTTAATAGAACAAAGCATGTTGTTTAATTCTAGCTTTGAATATTCTTTGTGTGTGTCAAACAGTCTCCTCAAAAACCCAGCATCATTTATTTAGTGTGCTCCACATTCTCTTATATGCACACACCCTAATGTAATTATTTATTAAAATCAGTTTTATTTGCATTGCCATTGTTCAGTTTGCTTCTGTCAAAAGGATTAAAGGTTACATTTCAATATTCAACTGATAAAGAGGACAAACAAGAAACAAAAATTATTAATAATTGTTACATCTCTAAATGATTTCTGCTCATAGAGATAGTTTCCATGTCTGTTTTTCTGAATACATTCAGGTTATGTATAATTCTGAATGAAACTATTGAATATTCGGTTGTTGGGTGAACTTTTTTCTACAGTTTTTCTTTCCTCAATCTGAAAAAGTAACTGCTCAAAAGTTTTTTGTTTTTTTTAAATATAGCTAATCTTTTGAAAGCATTAATATAAAGACCTATAAATACTCTCTTCATGAAAGAAAGCTTTGTTTACAACTAATTCTTCTCATTATGAAAGCCTCTAGGAATGTAATGCAGGTTTCAGGAAGAGTGTCAGAATACCTCTTCACCACTACAGGACATCTTAATACATATATAAGAATCCACTACATTGTGCAAAAATTAGCTCAAAATTGTCACTTAATAGTAGTTGTGGGAGACTGTCTATAGTTGAGTGCAATTTTGCAAAGTACTTTGTATGTTAGCCTTTAGTAAGCTAATTTGTAGTGTTCCTTTAATTATTCATTTTGAGTTGTCAAAATTGAAGAACTTAGTGTGCTTAGTTCACGATTAATGATCACTGAAATTGCAATTAATATTTAATGTGTAGTTTGCTATATCAGAAGTTACAGATTAGGAGTGATTTTCATTAAGGTGAATGGTAAGGCGATCAAAAATGCTATTAATATTCAGTCATCAAAATTTGTTCATTGTTCTAGCTTATTTTGGGGTGTTATTCTTTTATAGAAAGATATTTCTGTTCGACATAAATTAGGGGGAGTTCCCTTCTTAAGCTCTATTGGTTGCCTTATCATGAAATGGATTCAGATGAATATGGATATTTGAGTAAATGTTTACATTTCCTATTATGTGAAATGTTTGGGTGGGATGAAATATGAATTATAAGGGGTGGTTCCACTTCTGGGCATGAGAACTCTCACCTTTGCTCAGAGTGTTTTTGTACTTACTTTCCACAGATGTCGGTCTGCTGGTGAGTTGGCAACCCAAGGTAGCGGGGGTGTGACGGCAAGCCACGCTCACTCTGCACCCCCGAAGGCCCGCCACGACACACAAGCTGCTCTAGCTCTCTTTCTCTGTTTTGTTGCCTTTCATTGTCAAGTCCTTCCTGATAAATCCATCCGGTCCTGACCTTAAAATGGGATGGCATGTAAGAGCAGTTCAGTGGCAGGCCTTGCAAAATTATTGGAAATTTATTTGCAGGCTTAAAAAAGTTGGTATGCAAAATTGTACGTAATACCTTGGATACCACTTTTCCCAAATTATTCCTTGTTATTATAAGACACAAGACTTCTTTGTTCATACATTCTATTATGACTTGGGTCTAAAACTATCTGCTCAACCAAGTCTTAGGGTAATTTAAGCAAGTTCAAGTATGTCAATTTATTTTCTTTTGATACTGCAAATGTTTTGTAAGTTTTACTATTATGAATAATGATGGTACCATGTTTGAAACGTGTGTTATGTGGTAGAGCCCATAACTTTATAATACAATGTTTATAAAAACATCTTCAAACAATGAGACATACTTGCCTAAATTAGACTTACACATTTCTTTTTCCTTAATTTTGCTAAAAGATACCTTTTGACTTGGTTTGTGTAGAAACTGACATGTGGGACTTGGGAATGTGTGACTGTAAGTGCACTTCATAATTTCACTTTCCAAGTATTTATATTACTCCAGCCCAGTGTGTTTCAGGAATGATCTAATGGGGTATGTATGAAGCATTTAGTGTATATTTAATTTTGCTCATGCACTGCCTTAAACTTCCCAATGTGATGTTTCTTCTGAAACATGTAAAGTTGTTTTCGCTCTTACAGTTCATTATACTAGTATTAATTTCACAGTCAGTTTGTACCTAATGCCACTCCCATATTTGAATTCCTTTATCCAGAGGAAACTAGGAATTCCTTTGTCCAAAATAAACCTTATGTACAGTTGCTGTTCATTCTTTAGCGGCTAGTGTACTATAAGGCTTATTTTATTCAAAAGCCACTGCTAAGTGCATAAACTCCCAAGTGTTTGTTGGGCTTGCCAAGAAGGAAGTTACTTTTTTCCCTCAGCAGAATGAGTTTTAATCATAAAGGAAGTTTGGGATTTAAAACCTTAATCCTGGAAATCAGAATGCTTCCAAAAGCAAAAGCTGTTTGCCTTCCAGAATACGTACGTATGAAATTTGATTTAGGGGTGCCCAAACTATGGAAGAAAAAATATTTTTTTTTCACTGTTGTATTTCATGATGTTATGATTGACACTAATTTTGTTTAGTTTGTGCATCCCTAATGGAAGCTTATTTAAGTGTGATGGAACGTAAAATGCCTTGTTCTTCATAATAAGTCACCATAAGTATTTAAGGTCATGAGTGAAAATGTCTATCTTTTGAGTTATTTTAAGTTTTGATTGTAATATAAGAAAATAATGTTTGCATTTGAAAATTGTGATTTTAAAATTAATCTCACAGTATTAATGGACTTTGTACCTAAAGTGGTTTAGGTTTCATGAATTGCAGAATGCTATTTTGAAAATTTGAGACTCCATTCACATAAGTTCATTCTACTCTACCATGAACTAGTGTGTGTTCTTAACTAAATTGTATTTCAGTACTCTCCTGTAGTTTATATTATTCAGAATTGGATTTTTTGAGGGTAAGTAATGAAAAAACAATGAAGAGAAGTCATCAAGGATGAAATGAAGATATTTTGTGACACGATTACTGAAGAGAATGGAGAAGAGCAATGAAGTGGGAACTTCTTGACTTTAATTTTTATGAGCTATATAGTTACTTTTGTGGGCAATTCACCATGGTAAACATAGTCGAGAATATTTGATATAATTGTGGCCTAAATTGAAGTGCATTTCTTTCTTGTGACGAAAAGATTTCCTAATCCTTTATTTTGCAGTTTCATCATCTGGATGTAGCGTTGCATTGTAGTGAAGAAATTTGATGTTTTGCACCACCTAAGTAGTTGCTTGTATGAATAAGGGTTATGCTCTAGTATATTATTTTATTTTTAAAATATCAATTCGTGTGTTTCCTTTTGAATTGCAATGTTTGTTGAGATGTAATACAAATAATGAAATTGAAAATGGGATGTAAAATGTTCATTAAGTTGTATTATTATTTAAATAGTCAAATATTCCAGATTATTTTACATGGTGAATGAATGTGGACAGTGTGACTACACATTTCAAAAAGTGATTTGAGTTTATTGTGCAACCTCCACGGGGGAATTTTGCAGGTATCAAGCACTGGACTGTAATATAAATTGGCCTCAGTTTATGAAATTGGACTGAATAACCCCACAAAGAGAAACGTTTTAGAAATGGATGATGTAAAAGTGTTGCTCCGGAAAAATCAAGAAATTCAATTCTATTGTGTACAGTAAACGTTATATGTAAAATGTGGTAAGATAATGCTGCAAGATATGTGAACTCCTAAAACGTGGTAAGGTTTGGCCAGTGAGGAATGAATTACTAACATTGATATTTTAACTGGTGATTCTGTTTCAGATACACCTCTGTAAGGAAACATCTGCAAATAATAATTGAAATACAAGATTTGTACTATGCACAATGTATTGATATGAGTTAAGCCCATAGAGCTTCTAATTTGAGAGATTGAAGCTCATGGCACACATGGGTTGCAAAAAATACTGTTTCATTACCCAAAGTGGAATGTTCTAAATTGAAAGTAGAATGCTTAACCCACATCAATACATTCATAAACACCCATTGTAAATAGTTTAATACTCAGGGATGGAAAATAACTCATGGCCTTAATGCACATAGAGAGTAAGGTGGCATACGGAGTCAAGGAGATAATACTGTTATTGTGATGATACAATGTGACTTATGTTGTGTATTTTGGAAAAGCTTACATTATCTATTCTGAAGGAAAGAAATATGAGATGCGGAAGTATAGAAAGAAAGAGGTTGTTGCAGCGGAGAAGTTTCTACATAGAGAAAATTCTATGTAGCTCAATGCGCTCAATCAATGGCACAGATGTGCTGTCATGCCAGAAGGAAAATCTTTTCTATATTTAAAGTCAATATAAAGACAATGGCAATGCAAATAATGCTGTATAATTTGCGATTGTATTTCATGTTTTTCTCCATTTTGTTAAAGAACTATTCAACCCATGATGTTGGATCAACACTATATTAATTTGAAGAACCAAGTGATAAAAGCAGAAAGAAGAGTTCTCAAGGAATTGGGTTTTTGTGTTCATGTTAAACATCCACATAAGGTAACAAGCTCCGTCAATATTAGTGTTGAACAAATGCTTCTTACAATAATATAACAAAGATATCATTGTCTCCCTTTAATTTGTGCTTATGGATACATTGTCTTGTTTCAGCTTATTGTAATGTATTTGCAAGTACTGGGTTTTGAAAAACATCAAAATCTTATGCAACTCTCATGGTAAGAAAAAAATCAGTAATTCCGAATATCAGATTATTGTACATTTAAAAAAAACCTCTGAATGAAATGATGTTTCTTTTTCAGGAATTATATGAATGATTCTTTACGAACAGATGTGTTTGTGAGATACCAGCCAGAAACTGTAGCATGTGCATGTATATATCTTACTGCTCGTCGTTTAGGAATTCCTTTACCACGTGCTCCTTCATGGTTTAGTATTTTTAGAGTTGAAGAGAGTGATATCCAAGATGTCTGTTTTAGGATATTGAGGCTATATAACCGACCGAAGGTAACATAAATCTCATATTGCTATAGTTTGGGGTATCTTCCTCTTATAAGTTTATATATAATGTTAATATTTCCAGCCAAATGGAGAAGAGTTGGACCGAAAAGTTAACGAACTTAAAGCCCAGTATCAGGAAGCACGACTGAAAGCAAAAGCTAATAATAACAATACTGCAAGTGCTGGTAGTAACAGTCCAGCATCTCCTTCTGGTCAGAACAGAACTGGTCTAGTGTCTTCGAGATGGACTGGTTTTTATAGGTATATCAATTTTTTCTTTACTAACGACATTTTTTTTAAACTTAAAAGGTGTTCCATTGATGATCACATTCAATTGAACTTTTTGAATTGGGTTTTTTCTTAATTTACAGTCGAAACAATCATGGTACTGAAAAGCATCGTAGTAGAAGTCGTACCCCTTCTCCTAGCCATAGTCCACCGCCAGTAAAACATAATAAAAAATCAAAGAAAAATAGGTAAGTTTGACCTTTTGATTCTCTGCAATTTATAATTATTAGGATTTCTCAGAATTTTTTTTAGCAGTGAAACTCTCTAAAGATGTTACGACCTTAAAGGTTTTGAATATTCTTTTGCAGTTTTATCACCTTGGCAGTGTATGATCAAAAAGTTTAAACTGGTTTCTTTAAAATCTTATAATCAGAAGTAGTCAATTATATGTACAGATTTAAGTATATTTACGTGATTTCTTTAGTCTTCAAATTTGTATTGCTTTGGTTTAACTGCTCCACCAATATTCAGTAAATTTTGTGTTCATTTTCCGTGTGTGAGCAGTAATCATTGATACTATTAACAATTTATTCTCATGGTCCTCTGAATGTCTCCTTTCAGGTCTAGAAGAAAACTGCTTAACTCTTTCAGTAATCTATACTGAACTGATCAGTAATGCATGTTTATAATGGCCAAAATTGTTAAATTGCTGTTAGCGAGTGTTATCCTCAGAAATGTCATTAAAACTTCATTTGTTGTACATTTTATTTTTTAGCCAAGGTGAACTAGACCTGACTTGTTTAGACCAAATTTGCAGAACCAGTCTGGGAACTTTTTGTTCATATATGTACCGACTATTGTATGAAATTCCATAGTAGGGATATGTATCTAAGGAGTTAAGATTATCAAGATATAGTTTTCTTCTCTCCCTCAATTTTATTTCATTTCCTTAAATTAGTTTTCCCCAATTTCACTTCCGTAACAAGGGTCAGTTTAATTTTCATTTTGCTAATCCTCCTGCATTTGCATTTTGTACCAGAGGTGAGCACCAGTATGCGCCATCAAGCAATCATGTTGTAGCAGCAGTTTGTGCAAATTGCTGCATAACTCAGGGACAGCACTATGGTGCAACATCAGCCGCAGATATGCTTTCTGCTTTGAAGATGGTTCCCTGCATGTGCCCTCAACAAGTCATGGCTTCCTGGTCTGTTAATAGTGTGCAGCATATGTCTTGAAATGGTTTGGAAGCTCTTGAAGGAACAGATGCCAAAGCTACTGGTTTATGTGCACAGAGTGTAGTTCTGTTGTGCAAAGAAACACATTAAGCATTAGGCATAGTGTCTCAGAAATTTAAGTAATGTAATTATAGTATGTTGCTGAGTGCAATGAAAGATGCATGGAAATAAGATATTAAAGCAGTTGTCATTCCTCGAGTCATCTTTTTTACACCATGTTTGCATTTGCATATACTAAAAACATCTTTTGAGGGTTTCACTGCTTCTGAAAAAGTTTGACCTATTAAAATTTAATAGTTTTCAACTTGCATTGTGTTATAGCATTTACAATTAACATTGTTTTCAGAACGAGGTCACTCTCCCGGTCGAGATCTAGGTCCAGGTCACGATCAAGGTCCCATGAGAGAAGAAGTAGAAAATATGCTAAAAGACGCAGCTACTCAAGATCTCCTAGTTTGTCTCCACACAAAGCACAGCGCAAGAACAAGTACGTCACTATTTTACATGTCCCATTGAGAAAAAATATTTACTCTGGTATAATAGGACATCCTGATTGTGTAGAGGACTCCTAAGAATTTTCTCATCTTTAATTCTTACTATACTGTCAATTATATTACAATTTGTCTTATTGAGCATAAAATTCTTGGTGAGGTTTTCTTCCTGGCACTCCTTTTTAAACAACCGTTAACTTGAAGCTTGCGTAGCTTAATGTTCATGTGATAGGTGCTCTCAATCTTGCATTAACTCTGAGTACATCCATTACATAAGAAGCAGGGGGATTCAAAAGTTTACAATGTTTTAAGATTTTTTTCGCTGAGAAAATTTTTTAAAAAAATGAATTCCATGTCTGTGTCTGAACATGGATTGCGAACTGTCCTGAAGGTGAATTTCTTCATTTTGATCTAGTGTAAAATGCAGATTAGCAATTGCCCCATTATCAAACAGTATGTTTGTATGGCCATATTGGTAGGAGTCTCCTTTAGTGCAGGGTAACAGAGAAAAACATTGATCCAAACTCACTAGGCTTCATCTGTGAGTATAAGATGATCATGTATTTATCAAATGAATTTGGGGGAAACTTATATATTCAGGTATATATGGTATGCATTTTGTTTCTAAGAAATTTTCCTTCAAGAACCTCTGAAGTTGTATTTGAAGTATCCAGGATAAGATTACTGGTTAGAAATTCTTTAACGTCCAGTGAAGCTTCTATTTTAAAAAACTGTATGAAGGTCGTTTTAAATTTAATGATGTCTTAATTTTTCTTTCAGGGAGAAATCTCGTCACAGATCACGGTCGCGAAGTCATGAGAGACGAACAGAATCTTATGACAGATACTATAGTAGTAGCAAGTCAAGAAGTCGGCATTCTTCGAGAGATAGGAAAGATCGTCGTTGAGACATTTTGTTAAGTTTCAGTGACTTTACTTTGTACCTTTTGGCAGTAACACAAGACAGATTTTTGTGCTGTGATGAAGGAAACTCGAGCCACATCAGTGAAGATTTCCTAAGTACAATGTTCAGAAGGCTACCTTCGTTTAAGAAGATGGTATTAAGTTATTGAAGGGGCCAAGTCAACCCTGAGAGATGTTGCTGCTTGTAATTATGGACATATGTTTTATGCTATGAATGAAGTTTTTAGTGTGTTTGAGGATGAGTGTATGGTTTGCAAGTAAAACTATTTGCATACCTCCATGTGTTTTTAATACAATATATAGAATCAGATGACAAGAGGAACGTTTCTCGTCTGTGAAATATATCTATATTTATAAAATAATGCATTTTCTTTTACCATTCAACATCCCTCTTCACAACTCCTACAATATATCACATTGTTTTTGGAATCAGTCAACCAGAAAGTTGAGTTAAAAATTGCAAAATTGATTGATTCGTTGGTTCACACATTAAATTTGACACTTTCTATTTACTCTATAATTTACAATAAATTCCATAATCTTGGAATTTAAGCAAAGTTTTAAGCTTTGTTTGGAAACTTCCTGTGAGATTGTCGAATCTCCAATATGAACAATGAGCAAGTTGTCTGAACCTAAATTCCTTCATTGGCTTCACTAAATTTTGATGTTTTTACATTATCATTTATCAAATCACACACTCAAAACATCACTATTTTTCAGAAACTTGAAACTTCATGTGTTCTAGAGTTGAAAAAAAGATGACTTATTTTTTCTAATCCCATCCCATTCAGACATTACCAATTACTTTTTCCAAAGAATTGTGCATGCACATTTAGAATTTTATTGCACAAATTCCTTCAAAAAAATTAATTTAAAAAGATTGACGTTCATGTGATGTAAATATAACTTCTGTAAACAAAATATAGAAATTTTTAAAATGCAACTTTCTGGGTCCACTTACATTATTTATAAAATATACTCTTGCCTTTATACACTACTTTTGTATAGATCAGACAAATTTCAAAGTGCGACCCACAGTAACTTATAAAGAAATAGTTTGTTCACAGGCGCACGTAGGGAGCCCACTGTCTGCCGGACTCGTAGCCCGAACTACGGGGCGTCCAAACAAAGCAACTGTGAAACTTCTGTTATTAATCGCAGAAACACACATGGTGTCAAATATGACTTAAAAGTTTATTTATAAACCATTAACGATGCTAGTCTGAAACAGCAGCCTTCTTTCTCAGATATATGGAGTTTTGTAAACGTGAATCCGCGAAATGTGCTTTGTTATGTGACGTTGGTAACAACAGGTAGCCCCACAATAATATCAATACTATAGCTAGTTTTTAAATATGAAGATCTACAATTGCAGAAGTGTACGTTTAAGTTGTTACAATCAACACTTGAGTAGTTGAAAATCGATTGTTTACCGTCAAAAAAAGTTATATAAATTGGAAAATCTGTTTTCTAAAATTCCTGCTTGCGGCGAGTCGAAGTTTTTTCAAGTCAGAATCGACCATACTATTTTATGCCGCAAATATGAGTGGCAGTGGCGTACCTTGCTAATCTTGATCACCCTGACGTATTACTGATTTGAGTAGTGAAGAATCTGACCGAGGAAGTTCGTCTTGCGCTGTCATCACCCATCGTTTGCCGTCTGCTCTCTTCCTGGGACAAAAATAAAATTTGAAGCTGGAGTTCATATTACCCAGTGTGATTTTTTTTTATTTTTTTTTAGAAAATTATTCTTTTCTACATGAAGATGAAATTTGGAAACTGCAGTGAATTAATGTCTTAGCTACTGTGTCCATTTCGGCTATACATCAAAGAATTTAAAAGTTTTTTTTCTTTGGGGGTTGGGGGGTGTCTGAATCACGACACGGATTCAGTCCACCCTTTTCAGTGTAAACTCAAAACACGTCTGAAGTAAGTATATGACAGTATTAACACATTTTTTGGATGAGGTTGCAACTTCATCCTTTAGGAATGCTTCCAAAATTTTTAACTTTTATTCATTACTGAAAGTAATTATGAATTTGCAATATAACAAGTAATTTAAATTGTTGTAAAATGGAATTTATGTTAATACTATATGGGTTGACATTTTCAATTACATGAAATGTTAAGAATCCATTACCAATATTGGCAGACCTATGTTCATACCATTTATATTAGTTACACTAGAGCAAAAGTTAACGTTGTGGAATCAATTGGAACTGAACATAACAAATGAGAGAGTCACGTGGTCGCAGAGCGCGACGTCAACTCGACGTTGGAGTGTCCGCCCCCTGTGAAATTGGACGCTCTTTATACAAGACGAAGTGCATGTGTAAACTCGGTTGCCAAGAACTTCAAAACAGTTGCCGCCAATGCCATGTTGCCACATTTCCCTTCCGCTTAAGGGAACACTGTTGTAAGGAACGTCTGTGAGCGCCTATCAGTGAACACTTATGTTGAGAAAGCACTTAGCACTTAAAAGTTCGCTTATCCTGTCAGTGACGACTATGAATGCGGCCCGTAATGCTGCAAAATGAAATGTCGGAAGAAATTTTACCAAGAGTCTGCAAAAACGTCTTCGAATTCTTCTCACTACTCCAATGACTTCTTCAGAAGCTGAACAATCATTTTCAAGAATGAAGTGGATAAAAATAGTTCGTGGAAATGCAATGGCAACGGAGCGATCGCGGTCGTGCTTTGCCTCGCTCTGCTGTCAGATAGGTGTAGAGGAACTTAACTTATCCGTGAATCTATGAACTAGTGATGGAGAAATTTGTCCATCTGAAAAATCGGCGATCGAATTTTCAATTCAAGTAAATTAAAAAGATTAAGATTAACAAGATTCAAGTAAATTAAGATTACAATTTCCTAATTTCTGCGTAGATTGATAAAATTGATAATAAATTTCTCGTTCCGAATGTTGCCTAATTAAACAATTGTAACGGAGATTGTACATTCAGAAGGGTCAAGATCAAAAGTAATTTAAAGATATAAATGAGAAATTAAAGCATTATTTTTCAAGATTAGTTATTACGAGTAATATTATAAATATTAATTTTGTTCACAAAGCCTCAGGTCAGGTCGCAACAGTCAGTTGCATAGTAGATATCGTGCACCTTCACCGCGCAAAAGCAGTGGCCCAACATCCACTAATCGGTTGTTTCGTACGCTGAAAGGAATATGACAAGCCGACCTGTTGCTAGCAACGGATGTTATGCTGACCTCAGCCCAATTTCGGAGAGGCAGCGCGCCTTGCGCTCATGGCGCGTTGTCACACGTGGGTGCCGCATTCAATAAACATTTAAAAACAGTTTCTTAAAGACTGAGATGGGGAATTTTTCGTCGCCTTCTTTCCTTTATTAGTGGTTTTAAGCTTTCACACGTATTTACAATTATCCGATAGGAGTCCAAATATTTTAAAAAATATTTGAATTTAAGGTGAAATGTTCTTAAACAACTTTAATAATTGTTAGAGACGGAGTAAGGGAGTATCGCAGTATGTGTCACGTGACAGCAAGCCTCCCTTCCGCGCCCAACAATGGTCACGTGAGGATAAGCCGGCGAGTATGAATTGGGCAGATTCACTCATGCAGGCGGTTTTTCTGTAAACCTTGCGTATTTGCGCAAAATTCACGCCCAGGCCGGTGCGTACTCGTGCGTTGCACGGGTAATGAAGGTCACGAGAGGCGCGGTAGGAGAGTGCACTCGAGGTGGGGCCTTTCGTGTACATGTGGTTTATCCACAGAATGGTACAATCGCGGCTGAGGGTCGGCAATTACCGGAAAGTGTGTATGGGGTAGACGAGACATTTGTAAAAGTTGTAAATAAAACTGTATATACTTTTAAATTGTCTGTGTGCTTAATATCACGACGCCATATCGTATACGTAAATAGGTCCTCCTGCGACGTACTCAGTACTCGGCTGCAAAAGCTTGCATCAACATTTCCGGAGTGACAGGGTTCCAGCAAAATTTCCACTCTAGAGCATTCAAGTCGCCGGCGACCATTCGAGTGATTGGTCAAGAAAACTTACATGCGCATTTGGTTTTGACAATTCACAGCGCGTAATCTAGAAGGCAAGGAGAACGGGCTAGACGCTTAGAGACGAGAAGCAGAATAGTGGAAATGCGAAGCGACTGAGTGGATTGCAGAGAGACACGTCACGACTGCAGATTTCAAGGGACCGCGGTGAATAAGATCGCGATCGGGCGCAGTGCGATTGTGCTATTCGGCACTTGTGATTTTTGTGATCAATAAGAAAATGGACACAATATAGATGTGCGCGAGTCGCCATTAGGCATCCGTTTGTTATAATTTTGATAGCCAGGCGTGTTGCCTTACGCCACCATAAAGCTATTATAGTTATTCGCGAAACGAAGTTCGTGAATTATTCAAAACCTGCCGTCTCAATTAAAGACACTTGAAGAGTTCATCTGGAATCGACCGCGCACTACTGTCTGCGGTGACAGGCCGACAACACTGGGACCCTGTCAAAAGGGTCCTCTACCGGCCTCGTGGCCGTCTGGGAAGCCACAGAGCCCGGACCTGCCACCCCAGTGGAAAATAGCAGACGGGTCAATGAACACCGAAGCCGCCGCAGTACTACTCCGCCGGCGCCCAAGGATGTGGTGAAGTCTTGCGGTATTAAACCGTGCAAAGGTGCAACAAACAGCTTTTCAAGCGATTTAGGAAACCAAAAGACATCTCATCACTCGTGAATGTATAGGGAAACCCAAGTAATGAGTTCATAGAAACTCGCAATTGTGTGACTTCAAGTGATTAAATTTATATTATGTTTAAAATTCTAACTGAAATAAGTTGTTATGTTAAATTTTCAACATCATTCATCACTTCATTCCATTCCTTTGAAACAAGGTATCCCTCTGGAGCTGAGGTAGCTGGCACCCCAACACGACGTCACACGATTTCCCATGTGGGTGGACTTCACAATATATATATATATATATATATATATATATATATATATATATATATATATATATATATATATTGTGACGTACCTTCAATGCGCTACTATTTACTACATTTATTTTTAGAAAGGGACAGGTCGTGGCGTAATGTTATCCCTCCAGGAGTAGCCGGACATCTGACCGCTCAACCCTTGTGGTTCGGGTGTACGTGGATAGCTAGGTCAGTGAGAAGTATGAGCCATTTTGTAGAAAAAACGGTGCGATTTAATTGTTCAGGCGAAAGAATAGGACGATATCGGAAAATTCAGCTTTCTGAACTGCGATTAACCAGGCGAAGTATAATATTTCATAATGAATGTGGAATGCAGTGGACTAGCTAGTACGAAGCGGAATAGTGGCGGCGAAATCGAGAACTTTGAGATGTTGCG